TAAGGGAATGAACAAAGTTATATTCATACGAAAGAACCGAAACGGTCGTCAGATTTGCTTAAGTTAAATAAGTATAGAACTAAAAAACCACACCCTCTGTTAGTACGAATAAAAGCTACTACTTGGCTAACTTCGGATTACGTCAAGCATGGAAACCACCAGACTGTCTCCGTGTACTCGAAGCAGTAGTTGCTTCAACCAGATATAACTGAGAAATGCCAGTGAAGGTCATCAATGAAACTAACAGACCTCACCGGCTAATTAGACGAGGGGGAATGGTCGGTAAGGTGACAACCCGGGGACCCCATGTAGTATCAGATATCTTAACGAATCACAACAAAACTTTAAATATTAACAGTGTCCCATTGCAATTAATCTAATGTTTTAAGGATCCCCGTGTTGCTACCAAAAACACATAAGAAACCATGGTTTTCCGGCATGACTATAGCTTTGATAAATCATTTGTGAAAAGTAACAAATATTTTGCGACACTTTCATAAAAAATAAAGATGAACAAAACAAAATATAATCAACAGCAATGTTCTGAGTGTAACAAATCAATAAATCAGGCCAAAACCAAATCTTGGACTTGAGACCGGTATCACTCTAACAGTCTGAGACAACTGGTCAACGGCAATGTTCTGAGTGTAACAAATAAATAAATCACGCCAAACTAAACCTTGGACTTGAGACCGGGATCACTCTAATAGTTTGAGCCAACTGGTCAACAGCAATGTTCTGAGGGTAACAAATCAATAAATCAGGCCAAACCAAACCTAGGACTTAAGACCGGTATCACTCTAACAGTCTGAGACAACTGGTCAACGGCAATGTTCTGAGTGTAACAAATCAATAAATCAGGCCAAACCAAACCTTGGACTTGAGACCGGTATCACTCTAACAGCCTGAGCCAACTGGTCAACAGCAATGTTCTGAGTGTAACAAATCAATAAATCAGGCCAAACCAAACCTTGGACTTAAGACCGGTATCACTCTAACAGTCTGAGCCAACTGGTCAACAGCAATGTTCTGAGTGTAACAAATAAATAATTCAGGCCAATACCAAACCTTGGACTTAAGACCGGTATCACTCTAACAGTCTGAGACAACTGGTCAACAGCAATGTTCTGAGTGTAACAAATCAATAAATCAGGCCAAACTAAACCTTGGACTTGAGACCGGTATCACTCTAACAGTCTGAGACAACTGGTCAACAGAAGTGTATTGGCAACACTGTGTTACATTTATATCGAACACGAAATGAAGTTGAAGTCACTGTTTATACAAAACAACAAAGACAGAAAGTATAGTTGAAATAATGTTTATTAAATCATAATTGTTTACTACATAATCATAACAATTTGGCATTCTTGGTGCTACTCTGTATGACTGCTATTGGCAGCTGATATATAATATCTGCCAGTGTCGTAAATATTGGTGCATCATCAGCGGAGCCTGTAGATAATGGCATAATGTCATTTTAGTCTACAGGTCCAAGGCTGTTATTGGGGAGAGCCCGGCAAAGACAGCCTAGTCTGCATGGTCACGTGGTATAGATATATATTAACTACTGGCAGATAATAAAGGTACTAATTATTGTTATAACATTAGTGTATCCTACTGGAGCTTGTAGATAATCATCTGTTAGTCTACAAGTCCCGACAAAGACAGCCTTTTAGCCTGCGGGCGTTCACATGATACAGCAATATTACATAAACTGACAGATGAAATGATATCATAATTTAATAAGAGTAATTAATATTAGTGTATCCTTAATGGAGCCTGTAGATAATTATCTGTTAGTCTACAGGTCCAAGGTTGTAATTAGGGGGAGACTGTAGATAATCATCTGTTAGTCTACAGGTCCAAGGTTGTAATTAGGGGAGACTGTAGATAATCATCTGTTAGTCTACAGGTCCATGGTTGTAATTAGAGGGATCCTGTAGATAATCATCTGTTAGTCTACAGGTCCAAGGTTGTAATTAGGGGGAGACTGTAGATAATCACCTGTCAGTCTACAGGTCCAAGGTTGTAATTAGGGGGAGCCTGTAGATAATCATCTGTTAGTCTACAGGTCCAAGGTTGTAATTAGGGGGAGACTGCAGATAATCCTCTGTTAGTCTACAGGTCCAATGTTGTAATTAGGGGGAGACTGTAGATAATCATCTGTCAGTCTACAGGTCAAATGTTGTAATTAGGGGGAGACTGTAGATAATCATCTGTTAGTCTACAGGTCAAATGTTGTAATTAGGGGGAGACTGTAGATAATCATCTGTTAGTCTCCAGGTCCAAGGTTGTAATTAGGGGGAGCCCGGTAAAAACAACCTATAGTCTGAGTACAGAGATATACTAATTTGTCTGAATCGTGGGTAGAATTCAGTTTGTTGAATTTATTGGCCGCCTTGATGAATTTATTGGCCTACTATTTATCTAGTTCTTAATCAGTCATACAGGTTACCCATTGTCAATGAAGTAATGCAAGTTATATGGCACTATATAATATATATAACAAACATGCATAACAATGCAACCTACCATATGGTAGGTGTTTTAAAGACAACTATATATATATAGTATTGTTAGATAACCTTACAATGAAATAAGCTGGGCTTATGAGCATGTAACAAATCAGGTGCTGGACTATAATGCCCAGCTGTCTGCTGCACATACATACACTTCAACCCTTAGATCCATATGTTATCATGGTTAAAACAACCAAATTAAAATAAAGTGCAAAACATCACAGTTGTCCTTATCAATATAATTAAGGAATGATCACCTCTTTAATACTGAAATGCATGCACACATACAAGTTAAGTAAAATTGCTTGTATCAGGGAGGTGGGTGGGTTGACTTAATTCGACCAGTGATAAAATCTCTGCCTTCCCTCCAAACTTTTTCCAACAACTGGCCAAGCGTCGCTATACTAAATAATCATTTGTCAATTAGTCACGTGACTACTAATGAATATTCTGGCCTCATCACTTTATTGCACACGTTACCTAATTGACCCTACCTCTGAAACTAAAAGCTGCCCCCCNACATGCATCATGGTTATGATCCAATCAATTACAAGCAAACTGTACACTAATAACATCTAATGTTCTAACTAATAAGTAACTACAAGTCTAACTATTCTCTCTTTACATTGAATCTAATAAAAGTACACAACACAGCATCTCAACCTATCAAGCTGTTTAAGCTTACAGGTAAAACTTGCTTTCTTTAAACTTGAATTTAATAATTAAATTGATATTATATACAAAAAAAACCCATAAAGCAGTGTTTCTTATATACAATTATTCTGACTGATATTAATTGTATTCCTGACTTATCGATTGCCTTTTACATACATGACCAATAAAACATTGCAGTGAGTCATCACTAGTTTAACAAGGCCAATAACTCTTCACGCTGCTTTATCAGTCTCCGTTCTGATATATAGTAGTAATAATAATAACAACACATACAGTTGTCATAATGACGTACGTGTAGTTTCTCTTTGATTGCGTTCACAGTGTCAATGCTATGGTGTACATTTCTGCCACACTATACTGAGTCCACAGTGTCGATGCTATATGGTGTACATTCCTGCCACACTATACTGAGTTCACAGTGTCGATGCTATGGTGTACATTCCTGCCACACAATACTGAGTTCACAGTGTCGATGCTATGGTGTACATTCCTGCCACACAATACTGAGTCCACAGTGTCGATGCTAT